CCATAATAGATTGAAAAGCCAAAAAAAAAAAAAGAATAAACAGAAGCAAAACGAGGAAGATATATTAACAACAGGAAGATCTTAATTTGCCCAATCACATTATTTACCTCAAAGAGAATCAGAACTGGCTCTGCATTGGAAAGAAAGTATTCAGTAATTACCACCAAGGAAGCCAATAAAGCACAAAAAAAGATTACAGCAACAACTCTGGTTTAATCCCAAGCTAGTTGGGTTTGGTGTGAATCCTCACTATCTTCTCCAACACTAGGTTTCAACATTTTCTACTGGGATAACAGACCTCTAACAAGATAAAATGTTCCTAGCTATGTTGGATTTTAAAGTAAGGAGTAAGCGTACTAACATGATTTCTTTGATAAGGTATAAGTGCACTACATGAGTAAAAGCCTTAATCGCAACTAACTGATATCACCTATATAGATCTTTTTCTTTTATTATACCCTATCTTTCGCCAAGTCTGTATGGATTTCAAGAGATTATAAGTCTTTCAAGACAATTTCTTTCATATAATTTCTTAGGTTAACTCGTCCCCTTTTTAACATATTTCAATCACCATGGTTTCACACCTATAGAGCAATGCCTCTAGAGATCGACACATGACATGTCCAAACCATCTCAAGTGACCTCTCATTTTATCCTCTTTGTATGTTGCTTGTACATTCGGCCGTATGTCATCATTTCTAATCCGCTCTAATCTTGTATATGACTGCACATAATCTTAACCTTCGCATTTCTATGATACTCATCTTGTTGATATATTGGAACTTAGAGGTCCAAGATTATCGGTCTTACAACCATTGTGCCAAACTTGTCTTTCACTTTGGTAGGTATTTTCCTATCGCATAACACTCTGGTAATATTTATCCATTTCAACCATCCTATTCTCATTCTATGCATTACATCTTCATCTATCATAACATCATCTTAAACATCAAACCTAAACATCTAAACAGTTTGCATCTCATCGAGCCTAGTCATAACAATTTGTGTCTAAGCACTATAATCCCGTCTAATCTCACCCCAGCTTCACTCTTCTTTTCTCCGGATAAAGTAAATAATTTTATTAATGATGGGAGAAACCTCGTGTACAAGCCATATAACCTCAACTTTACTCTTCATTTGTGGCTAAGTGTAGTCTTATTTTACTCACACTACAACCCTGACTCTCTAGCGTGATTCTCCATAGTTTAAGTTTTTGGTTGACACTTCCGATAGTATCGTCAATTAACACAATCGTACGCTAATATCACACCATAAGACCTTAGTTAGCCCATCCATAACTAGCCTAAACAAGTATTGAAAGTATTGATCTAATGCCAGATCCCTGGTGTACACCTACTGTAATAGAAAACTACTTTGTATCTCCTACACTGTTCTAACGCTAGAGGCAACACCTTCGTACATATCCTTTATGAAATTTATATGATTAATATCAACTTTTTTCTTCTCCAACACCCATTGAAGAACTTCTCTTGGCACTCTATTATATGCTTTCCCCATGTCAATGATTATCGTGTAGGTTATGCTTCCTCTCGCAATGAATTTCCATCAATCAGCATGAATATAACTCCCGTCGTTGTAGCTTGGAAATGCTGAAATAAGATTTTAGTATGAAGAAAACTAGAAAAGGTCAAGGATTTGGAAAATTTCATTTTAGTTTCACCATTTTATCACCCTAACATCCCGCATAGTGCCTATTGCGTATCAGATAATTACACTCTTTTGTGGAGCCTAGATAATGATTTCCCACTAGATGATGTTCTTGGGCAGCAAATCTCTATTGCTGAAATCACTCTCTTCCTTAAGCAGATACAAAAAATAAAAATAAAAAACATATGACACCTCATCGATCCTTCTCCAATGAGAACAAGCATAGTATCAGTAGCTCCATCTTTTCTTTGATTACCCCTTTTGGGACTTCATTCGAGGAAAACAAAATCGACTACAAAGAGAAACCTAAATAAAGATAATTCAACATTTTTAAGGGAGGAGTAAAATCCATCTAGTGACTTATCGATATAGCAACTTAGAATCCTCTTGATGACAAGATCCTCAAAAGGAGTGGATATATAATTGTTTTTGAAAAATTCGTATTAATATCATAGCACCCCAAAAAGGTGCATTCATGTAAAGCAGTGGATATAGAGTTCACCCGGCCCCCAAAAGGCATCACTAGACATTTGGAAGGCTGATTTGAATGTGGAAAACTCTGTTTAGAGGCGGAAAAAAAAAGTGAACTTCTCAAACTCAATTCGCAGCAAATAAGGAACTTTTGAAAAAAAGAATCTCATCAAAGGATTTTAGAGTGGCACTAAGATAGCATGAATTGAAGACATTAACTTTATGCATCCAAGTATATGTCCTTTTTTTAGAGTGATGTCACGGGCAACTTGTGCGCACCTTAACTATTCTACCGGATACTTATTATCTCCCACCAGCACAGATATCGAGTAAGCTTAGGCAAATTCAGAAGAAATCTCCTAGTACGTTTTGTTGCTAGGATTCAAACCTTGATTTCCAAGGTTTGCACCTACTTCGTTTACCACTAGGCCAGGCCCTTAGCCTTGTGTCCAAGTAGATTTCTTTGAGTTGAGGAATATGCTTAGCTGGTTTGAAGAATAGGAAGGAGGACAAGGAAGATGAATTTGTAGAGTAAGTTATCTTCTACTTCTCCGCTGGAGTAGAAAGAGAGAGGCAGATGAACTTGTTGGTTGAGTTGGTGCTTTATAGGTCCTTTAAGTTTGGTATTCTCTTACAAATTTATGAAGTCAAGGCTAACTAGTTAATTTAGTTATAACCGCCAACTGATGGTCCAAATAAGGGTATACAATGGATAGAAGGCAAGGTTTGATGTTGCAGTCATCTCAACACAGACATTTCTTTTATGAAGTAAGTGGATTGTCTTCTCAAGATGAGATGATGATGTCTCAGTCATCAGTTCTCATCTTGTCCAAATCGCAGCTTACCACAATCCCTTATCTCTCATTCTGAGAGCTTCTATTTCTTTTATTTCCTACCCTGCATACTTCCCGTTAAAACAAAATACAATCACCTTACTAGCAAGTGGAATGTCACAGATTCCCATTTAATCCTGCAAACACTAATTTTACCTCGAATCCTAGTTCCAAAACCAGAAGGACTGTAGAAAAACAGTAGCACATTGATAAAAAGGAGGTGAGAAATGCTTATGCAATAACAAAGACAAAGGCACAATTACATCCAACGGATTTAGTCTATTCAAGTAATTGTGCCTAAGATAATAACACGGTCTTGGTGAAGTAGTGATGAATAGCTTGACTTATTACAAAAGAAAAAAATGTACCTAAGGAATCACCACTTGAAAAGTTAATAGCTAGACCAATTACTTCATACATGTATCGTCACTATTCCCTCCAAGTTATATACCACAATACAATGTGTCTGATATTCAATGCTTTGCAACATAATGTCTAGTCAGCTAATAGACATTTAAGGGAGAAATGTTTCCTTCTAGGGCTCACAAGACGCTATTTTCCTTCTTTGATGTCATACAACTCCTTGAAAGGGAACAAAGAAAAGAGAAGGTGTAATATAGCTCATCAAACTGCCACAACAACAAGTCGTTCCAAGCAGCTTTAGCAAAACAAACTACTAAACTATAAAGCTCCTCAAATTCAAATAGCTTAAAACTGAAAAGTTGATGTCAAATATAATTCCGTAACTTGGTTATCAATCCTGAAGGAAAACAACACATACCTTGGAGCATTTTTAAGCACTTCAAATTCTTCTTCTGTTGGCAAAAGACGGCCAAAAACATCCTTTGGCCTTGGTTTCTTTTTCTCCTGAACAGGTGGCACTTCAGGTCTCCTATGACGAATTAAAGTAATATAAGTGAGTCTAAGTTTTACAATCAATGATACATTGTGCAGCGGTCTCTTTCACAAAATTTAAGTTTAGAATCATCGAAAACTACAGCAGCTTGGCAGCATTACCCAGAAGTGGAGACCCCTGCTGCAGATGTGTCTTGAGAAGTGCCGCCATGCCCCTGCCCCTGCTTTTGTGCTTCGTCAGCAATCTCTGCAGCTTTTGCACTTTCCGGATTGTAACCAGGCGGTCGCACATACATAAAGCTAACAGCTTTCATCATCTCCATCTAACAACATTGTCAGAGAAACAAATCAATCTCCACACAAAAACATCCCAAAATACCGGGCGTGCAATACTATTTGCTTCATATTTTACAACCCTGAAAAGAATATGCCATGATTCATTCAAATATATATGCATAAAAAATAGTATACCTGTTTGTTTTTGGATTATGAAACTGATTCAAATTATTTAAACTTGTAATCATTGAATAACCAATTCCTATTCATCTTTTTCCTTCAAGAAATATGTGGATGTAAGATTAAAAAAATGCTATTTTTAACCAAACAATGCAACTGTTCTAATGAGAAAAAAGGGATTAAATAGGGTGAATATAACCAAAAAAACCCAAGCAGAACTTAATAAATAAAAATGGTTACCTTCTCTTTCTCTTTCTTGGAGACAAGAGCAGTCTGACGAAAAAACTCCTGTTCTTGAGCATACTGAAACACACACCCAAATCAGAAAAGCGAAAAAATCAGCGAACAAATTGAAACTTTTTGACAAAACTAAGCAAACCAAAAAAAACCCAAATCAAGAAAATCGTCTCATGAAAAAGGGGAACTGGGTATATATGGGGTTAGTTGAAAAATAGAGTTAAAAAAACAAACCTCGCGGGCAATTTCGTTAGCACGTTGTTCTCGCTGGGCATGAGTCTGTTCCGCAATCCACTTGCGACGTTGGTTTGGGTAAGAGAGAGGGTGCCATGGCTTCTGGTTAAGGAAATTGTGAGACCACGCAGTGCCAGCTTTGGTTTTGTAGTCTACTTCACCTCCTTTATCGGAGAATCTCTTGCTTAGCCTGAATCCAGCTCCCTCTTCCTCCATCACACCCGACTGAGTTTCGGTTTGGGACGGGACGGTGTCGCGTGGTGGTGCTGGGTTTTATTGGGTCCTCTGTAGATGTGTAATAGTGCAATTGAACCCCCAAACTTTTAAGAATTGTAGATTTTGGATCCAACTCCCCTCCATTTCCCATTTTCCCCAAAGCTCCTACTTGAATAAAAGACACATGGCATAGTTAAAAATTAATGACTGAGATTTAATTAGCTAAAATAAGATTCTAATCATAGTTAAAAAAATAAATATCATATATTTGCTTCCAAAAATTTAGGTAATCCTACAATTCTAGCTATAAATTATCTCATCATCTATACTCTCGCTGTTTTTTTGGCGCGTCGTTCTCTACTTTGCTACTTTCTTCACGATTTACCCATTTCCTCTTTGGTTAATCTTTTAATGGCAAATTTTTTTAAAAAAAATAAAAAATTTAGCTATCAACAAGTATGACACCTCGAAAAATTTTCATAACTTTGTGGTCTTTTCATGATGTAAATTGATTACTCCATCAGGTCCATTTTAATTAAATTTTTAGTTTTTTTTTTATGATCCATAATATTTAATTTTTCAGCTATCAAGAAAGAATTAACTTCTTCTTTTTTTAAGTTGTCTTTGGAGTAAAGAGTCTCGGAGTATCTGTTATATTTTGAATGAATAAATTAAAGAGATATTAAAGATTAATATGGTCAATTTCATCATTAATTAATGTTAAAAGATGGATTCTTTAGAATGTGTGAGAACCGCCAAAAAAGTAATTAAAATAGACTGGAGAAAATATTTTATACCAACATCAATAATACCCAATTGAGCTATTGTAGTAATCCTTTGGGACTGTAAGAAAACTAAGATTATCTTACCCACCAATAAAATTCATTAAACAAATTATAATGAAGGTACAATAATAAATGATAGTCATGAGAAGTGTAACCTGGTAGGTTGCCTTTGTTTTGTGCAGATTACTGGTGATTAATAATATTGTTTTAATTGCCAAAAAAAAGGGCAACCTCGTACACAAAGTATCTTGCAATTTACGTAGGGGCTGGGGAAGGGTCGCACCCCAAGGGGTGTGATATAGGCAGTCTACCCTGATGCAAGTATCAGTGGCTGATTCCACGGCTCTAACCTGTGATCTATAGGTCACACGAAAATAACTTTACTGTTGTTCTAAGGCTCCTCTTCTAAGGTACAATAAGAATGTATGGGGTAAAATTTACCATTTACACGTGGACGTCTCTCGAGCAGACATGTGGCGGTGATGACATGGTGGAGATGAGTAAGCATATAGTTAATACTGGATACAATCATGTGACCGGTATTGTGTAGATCCCCATAACACGAGGATCGGGAAAGAGAATTTGAAAGTAAGGTACCAATTGGAAAGAGCAATATTAAAGAAGAAGTCGTTATAGAAAATCACAGCATTTATTCCCAACGTTATGAAACCATCACAACCTATTCGGGTCAAAAATTAAACTTTCACAAATCAAAAATCTCTTTCTCTAAGCCATGCCCTTCAAATGTAAAAACTGATATTTTAGACATATTCCATATGCAAGAAGGAAAATATTTTGGTAGATATTTGGGCTTTCCCATCTTCATTAAAAAACCTACTAAGAATGATTTTCAATTTCTGCTAGATAATTTCAAAAATAAATTAGCTGGGTGGAAAACAAAATTCTTAACAAGGGCTGGTCGCACTACCCTCATCCGCTCAACCCTCAACCAACTACCCAACCACATAATGCAATATATCACAATCCCTAGCAATATCCTATCCCTCTTAAATAGATACCAACGAAATTTTCATTGTGGAACAACTCAACAAAAGAAAAAACTTCACCTCCTTAAATATGATAGTGTTACTAAACCACTTGACCAAGGTGGCTTGGGTATACAAAAACTTTCCACAAAAAATAAAGCGTTACATGCAAGTCTTGCATGGCGCCTATTTCAACAACCACAACAACTTTGGTCACAAGTTCTCATAAAAATTACATACGCCCTAATAAGACACCAAAACGTTTTCCTTCTTTTATATGGAAGAACCTAATAAATGGTTGGTCTTACTACCGGTTGGGCTATAAATGGAATCTCACTAACGGAACACATATCAAGTTCTGGATAGACCCATGGATTACTCATAATTTTACACTCAGCTCCTACCTACATGGCTCTTTCCCACCCAATGAATACCATAAAAGGGTTTCTGGTTATTATGATGCTAATAAGTGGCACTTTGACAAAATTTCCCTTGATCTCCCCACTGAGTTAGAAAATAGGATCTAACAAACGATGACATCTTCTCAGTTAAATCAAGTTATAATTCACTAACTCCTACTGAAAATACTCCATACTCTTACACATGGATTTGGAAACTTAAAATCCCTTCTAAAATATCTTTTTTCCTATGGCTCCTTTCACACAACCGATTATCTACAGCTACATACCTAGCCCACTTAGGTATCACCACTTCCAATATTGTAAGCAATGCCAAATGGCACCAGAAACCAATCCACATATCTTCTTCCTATGTCTTAAAGTAACCCAACTCTGGGCACATTTAAACATAACCCCTCCAATACCTTCTAATACTTTAGTAATAGGCACATCACCAAATCTCTCTAACCATTCACAATGGTTATATAAATTCATACATACGTGTTCAACAACAATTCCTTATAACATCCCAAATGCCATCTTTCTTTCCTTTGCACTATGGCATATATGGCATGTTCGTAATAAAAACACTCTGGATAATCAACATATGAACATTAATCTTCAATTAATTAAAACTACGGTTGCTGAATATTATTTTCTAACACAACACAACCTAACAAAAAAACCCATTCCTCTTAATATCAAATGGCATCCCCCATCACCACGTTACTATAAACTAAACATCGATGAGGCATCTTCCCCAGCTCAAAACAACTATGGCATAGGAGGTGTTTTCCGCAACACACAGGGACACTGGGTTCTAGGCTTCTCAGAAGCATCTCGTCCAGCAACTGCCATCCAAACAGATCTTCTAGCATTACTCAGGGGGCTGCAACTTGTTGTGCGTCACCAATACACACTGCTTATCATCGAAACAGATGCACACGACATCCTCCATATGTTAGATACGTCTAACATATATCACACTAACATTTTAAATGATTGCAGGTTGTTGCTTCAACAGCTAGGTAGGTTGTCTCTACAACATGTCTATAGGGAGCAAAATAGTGTCGCAGATAGTCTAGCTCATTATGGGGCCAAGCAAGTAGTTATCAACAATTTCATCTTTTTTGTCACACCACCACCTTTTGTCGCAACTCTCTACAACCAGGATCTAGCAGGAATACTGCATAGAAGACTTGTTAACATGAACAATTCCCCCGTTTATAATACTAATATTTTGTGTAGTAATGCACCCCATGTAAGGGCACTTGTAATAGCTTCTAATAGTAGTAGCTCTAGTTTACAATCTAATATGCCTTTAAGGCATCCAGCTCCCTGTACTAATGTAATGTTTTAATATCTAATATAAGTCCATCTTTTTGACCAAAAATAACCCTTCTAACTTAGCCAAATTCCAAAAATAAATCTGATTTTTGCACAATTAGCCAATTTTTGATTTTTCCCTAATATTAAACTAATAAAAATGTAAATGAAAACACTAACTAATTAACCCAAACCTAAAAATGATTAAAGCATTTTTTGCACTATCCTTTTCTTTGTTTTTTTTCTCTTTCTTTTCTTTGATTCTAAAAATTTTAATTTCATTAATTAAAATCATAAATAAGCTAAATAAAATCCTAAATTAGACTCTAATTTAATCTATTTTGTAGAATTGATCTTACTTATTTTCACTAATTTAAAAATAATTAGTTAAAACTAAAAGCTAAAATGTATACATGACCGTTGTATTTTTGTGATTTTTATTTAATAATGCAATTAACTCATGTAATAAAATCCTAAATGTAATTAAGACCTAAAATGCTATGTAATGAAGATTTGGACATTTTTTGATATTTTTCATATATATTTTAAAATATTAAATATGCAACTAAATGCACATAACAATTAACGAGAAATTCCTAAAAATTCTATAAAATATTAAAATAATTAAAACAAATCTATTTTTGTGAATTTTGTAGGAGTATTTTTCGTCGGGCAAAAATTACGTGCTCACAGCTGCCTCTCTTTGCTCGTAAACACGAAGGATTTTCGGGCAAAGATAAATTGAGCAATTACGAGCGATTTTTGCCCGTTTGGATACTCCATGGGAAGCACTTTGAAAACGTTTGACCAAACCTTGGTTCGGAGGTTGCATACATATCCATGGCTATAAAGGAATCATGTCAGCGTAGTTCTGGAAATTTTGGTAGTTGGGATTAACGAAAAACTGTGATTTCACTGTAGTTGCTACAGTTACTGCTTCCTGAGCTCCTTATTACACCAAAATCAAAAATGAAAAGAAACTAAACAAGCCTATCAGCTATGAGTTACAAGATTCCTATCTATAAGTCTTCTGAAGCTTGATCCTGAGTCTTGGCTGCTTCCTCATGCAAACTTTGACCTGAATCTTGATGTTTGCTAGCTGCAGGTGCTAGTTCATTCTTCTGCGACTTTTCTTGATCAAAACAGGACATGTAATGCTCGTGAATTCAGTCATGCCTTGAGTTGTCCATATCTTTTCATTCGCTTTTGCATTTTGGATTCACTTTTTTTCTTTATTCTGGATTGAGACTTCTTCCTTTGGTCATCTCGAACCCTGTGCCTCGAGGCAAAACCTACTCAGACACCAAAACAAACGAATGAAATTTTTCTGCCCCAGTTTTCACTAGGAAAAATTTCTTGAGTTATTTGTAATAAAATTCTATACTACTTCATTATTAAAAGCAAATAAAATGTTAGGATTGGTGTACCCTTGGAAAAATAGAGATTAGGGAATGAATACCCTATATCTAAAATAAAATCAAGCAACTAGGGAGTGGAGACCATATGTCTAAAACAAAAATCAACTAGGGAATGTAGACCCTATGTTG